TAAACAAGATTTGAAATTTTCTTGTACAAACCCCAGCGGTAACCCCATATTCACCGGCACCTTGTATTAATTGATATACTTGATAATCCATGGGCAATTCGGCATAAATTCCCATTTTATGATCCTCTGATACATTTTGACCTTTATCAGATGTACTTATTGCCAATTTATGATTACATTTTCCTAAAATATAAAAGCAAGCATTTGAATTAATCAGGATAGTAAAAATCAATAATTAAAATAAATTCAAATATTTACCCATTTCAGGTTCTTTTCCTTTTTCATAATGTGTAATAAGTCTTAAACATCGATCCATCTGTTTATTCGAGTCTTTTTTTGGTACATTTATTTTTTCGATATATCCTTGATGTGATAAAGTTCCAATAGTCCTATTAAACCAACGGCGCTGTTTTTTTGTTGGTGTCGATACTCCAAACTACATAAGTACGATCAGTACGACAAATATAATAATCAAAAAGAAGAAAGAAATGTCCAGAATTGGGTAAATTTAACGAAAAAAATATCTTCAACCGTACCAATGCCATCATTAAATCATTAGCTAACATAATCTGATTCTTAGCTTTCCCTAATATTTCAGTAAACTTGATTTTAATCAGCTCAGAATTAAAAGATACGCCTCCACTGACTGTGTCCGTTGGATCATAAGTGTAATCGGAAGATTGAACCGATCGAGAACTATTAGATGAATTGTTTGTAGGAAGATACACAGATTTTCCTAAATATGCAAGATTTTGAGAGGCACATTTCGTGAGAATGCATAGATTTGTATATATTCCTTTAGTAACAACCGGTAATTTTACTCTAAAAGTTATAAATATTAGAACGGGTTTGTAAATAAAACAAACAACATTTAAAAGCAAATAAATATAGATTACATTAGCTTTAAATTGATAAGCGTCTTTACATAATGATAGAATGATCTTGGATCTATTTGTAAATCTTTTGCCATATCTGCTTGAGTGGCACCAATAGCGCGATGTCGCGCGACGTATTGTAATATAGTATAAACTATTGGCGTTATCTGTCGCGTCGTCTAAAATAGCAAGATTCAAATAAATATTGAGAAATAAAATCAAGTTTATAGCAAATACGCTTATAGTCCATACATCGACATCACCAAATATTATCCGCTTCTGATATTCAGGTATAGTTTTTATTCTGAATCCATCACCATAATTAATTTGCACATCTTGAAGAGTCATCTCTACAATTTTATGTTTATCTAACAAAATTTCACCCTATTTATATGAAGGATTCGGAATTATTACTAAGGTACATCAATGTGCCGAAGTAAAATAGGATAAAAACTAACTTGTTTCATATTAAAGTTTTCATTCATCGAATCCATTCCTGCATCTATGGTTGATTCATCATT